GGCGTGATCATTATTATTTAGAGTCATTGCGTGCCTATTGATTTGAACACGATCCGTGTATCCATCATTTCCTGGTCTTCTCTAAAGAAGAGGGACCAATGGAAACGTTGTCATGTTGCCGTTGTTCAGCATGGAAACATTCATTAGCTAACAATGACATTATTGTTCTATTAATATAAAGGGAGGTCAGGTACTCTTTAAAACAGCTGCTAGTTATGGGTACTTTTTACTGAAGTACATTTCAAAGCCTCTTTACTTTTACTTGAGTAAAGAAGTTTAGTCAGTACTTCTACTTTCACCAGAGTATTTTTAAACACGAGTATCTGTACTTCTACTTGAGCAAAGGATGTGTGTGTGTATGACTCTGCACCATCAAGCTGGCACATGGAGAGCAGAAATACCCAGACACCTCTCAACCAGAGTCAGCTTTGACCTTTTGGCCGGGCTTTGATAAACAGCTCGTTACTTCACAGCCTGGCAGCTCTATCAGAGAAGCTGGGAGTTATGCCTGGGTCATGTTTTCATTCCTCAGTAAATCCCAAAGCCTTCAGAGCATTTAGTTTGACTCACCCTCTTCTTCAGCCTGTCCACACGCTTGATGAGTTGGTCCTTCTCTTCCTCCATCGCACCGATGTCCTGTCGTTGGACAAAAGAGGGATCATGTGAGTGCAGGACCACTAAGCTTCAGAAGATACATCATCATATCAATTACATAAACTGAAAACGTATTCATCAAAATTACTTATAAGTTACACACATTGCAAACACAAAGGGCTGCAGCTCACAATTATTTTCATTGTCTTATCAAATCAAATCTAGAGAAAGCCATTAACCATTAGGTCTTTAAAAGGTGAGAACATTATGAAAACGTCCATCCCAAGTTTCTCAAAGACCATGTCTTCATTAAATGTCTTGTTTTGTCATTCAAAAACCTAAAGATATTCACTTTAATATCTGACAGAAAAAGCAACAAATCTCCATATTCGAGAGACTGAACGAGTATTTTCTTGCAGGAAAGATTGCTTAATAGATGGTAAACAGTCACCAAGTGTTTCTCACCCTCCTGATTTCTGCTGTGGAGAAGCCTGAAGTCCTCAGCAGCTCACACTCCTTATGATACGTCTTAAAACTCTCCACCAGCTCCTCATACTGTAGAGTAGACACACAACATTAATGACTTCTTTTGCTTCTTAAGGTTATTTCTCAAACTATGAAATGTAACGTGAGATATGTTGCCGACCTGGTGAGAGGTGTCGTTGATGACGTCATCCTGCAGGAACTCAGCGGGTACCTCCAGTTTGAACAGGAAGCGAGCTAGGTAGGCTCTCTTCTTCAGCTCAGGGAGTCTCTGCAGCAGCCAGTGCAGGATGGGGTGAACCACGGGCGTACTGCCGCTCACCAGACCCTGCCGGAAGCTGCTCCTGCAACACCAGGAGAGAAGCAAAGGATATATCACTAGGGCCAGATATAACATTACTCTTACCACTGTACATTTTACATTTATATTCATTTTCATATTCAATAATCCATTTCCTGCTAAATAATATCCTGCGTTATATTTCTTACTGAAATTTGTATTTCCACAGGTATATATTTTTTTAAACTTTTTAATGCTATTTTATTTCTATTTCAGAAATATTTTGGACTCTTTATTTCTAGTGTCTGAAATGTCTGTCTGCCTGCCTGCCTGCCTGCCTGTCTGCCTGCCTGTCTGCCTGCCTGCCTGTCTGTCTGTCTGTCTGTAAAAAGTCTTTTCATTTGCCATTTGCTTATCTCCAAAAGGCATTTGAATGATTGTGCAGTTCTCTA